ATTTTCGACAAAAAGACAGAGAGATACATTGATTTGTCCTATTTTGTAGCTTCGGTGCTCTTAAAAAATCTCATAAAGTTGAACAAAAATCCCTACAAAAATCTATTTTTTCACGTGTTCCTGATTTAAACTTTTCCTAAAATGTTGATATAACCTAGATTTTTAGGAGTTTTTTCGAATGAGCTATCAAAAAATATAGAGTCCCGTGCAAAATTTGAGGGTTTTGCCTAGTTGAAGCTCAAAACGCGTATGGTTCTTCAATAAAATCTTGTAGATTTTTCAGCGGTTTTTGAGCGCGCGCACATCGTGGGCTCAAATCGAACGTTCAAAAGTAGGCAGCCACCTTAAGATAGCAAAAGAAAAAACAAGAAAAATTTTCTTGTAATTTTTAAAAATGTTTAGAAATAATTATCTAAAAATTAAAATATTCAATTATTAAAGAGCTACATTAACTTTGAGGACTTTGGTTTTTTCTTTATCATCATCATCATCATCATTATTATTAGTATATGTAATAGGACTCCATGCTGTCCAATTAAGAAATAATTGGACGAGGAAAATTCCGAGGACTTCCAAAATTGAATGAGGCCATAGGCCGAGTCCAATTTGGCAGTCAGAGGAATTTTTCAAGTTTAATTATTTCTTGATTGGGGAGCATGAAATCCCATTACCTATTAATTATATAGGTGCCTAATTAATCCCATATCAACAAGACCTGTCCAATTAAGAGAATAATTGGACAGTTACCTATATGGGATTAATGAGAAGCTGTATAATAATAATTATTATTATTTCATTGTTTATTTGTTTTTTAGTTGAGTGATTTTGTTAATTCAGAGACGCGCGCAATGCTGTGATGGCTTTCAAAAAACTTGGCTCACATTCTCGTACCCAGAGCTCCTCGTCTTCGTAGGAGCTCTGGGTACACTAATGCTTGGCTCCTTGAGCGAGTAACAGGTCTACGCATGCTTGTAGCTTCGTTATCCACAATCACTAAGGCCAAGGGCAAACGTCGAACTTTCCATGCACCGAACTTAATTACATCAAAGATTGCCGCCTCATTATCACCTGATATACATTGTTTTTAATGAGTTCGGTGCATGGAAAGTTCGACGTTTGACGTTTGCCCTAGGCCTAACACTACTAAAGATAAGATTAAGATCTACAATTAAGTAGAAGTTTCTATGACCATTTAAATAAAATCAGCATTCTTGCTAAAAATCTTTTTTAATATACTTTGATAGCAATACTTGAAAACAATAACATGATAATTACAAATGTGTATAATAATATCAAGTTAATAGCTAAGATCTAGTTTCTTACTGAAACATTTTTTTGCCGATTCCCTTTGTTACTTTATAGCCAGGAAGCGGCAAAAATTGGGACGTTAGAAGGAAGGAATCAACGTTAACATCGAAAAATATCTTTTACAAAGTCTAGCGAGACCAAAAAGTAACAAAATCCACACGTAGAAAGATGGACCACTTCCAGCTTAACCGTYTTCTATGTAGTTCTTACTCACATACCTAAAATCGAGGGTGGGGGGTTTGGAGTGTCTTATAACGCAGACGACACGATCTATTGTGCATGAGCTTCCGTCTAATCTTGCAACGGAGTCTCTGACGGAAGCCAGGGCTAGAAACCCAGACGCGGTCTGGGAGTTACAATGGAGAATCCATTGCCATCTCTAGTTTTTGACGAAATATCGACCTAATTTTCGCTAAGAATTACACCCCAACAAGCTTAGAGCGAGAGAAATTTTCAACTAAAACAAGTAAAAATGCTTGTATTTATTAAGAAATATAAAATGTGTGGATTTTGTCTTTAGCGAACTTTGGACCCGTGTAACAGAGCGTTTGGGAAAACAACTTATTTAAAAAATGTCAACCTTGTCAACCACTCCAGTCTGTATTGCTCATGCTTAGCACTATGGAGCCACTGACCACGAGGAATGCAGGCACTAGAAACTAGATGAAATGTTTATAGATTAACGTTTCGTAAATATAAATTTTAGCGCCCTTGTTCTTTCAAAGAATGGGAAAAAGCACAGTGATTTTTTATCACAATTTAAGTATTTACAATATACTTTAGCAGAGCAGCTAGCATATATGTTATTTTTACAATTCTTCTTAACTTCATTAGTAAACTGAAGCAGAATCGTGAAGCATTACAATAAAACTTCACTTCTGTTTTATACAACAAAGCCTGGTTTCCATATGTGCTTTCAATGGATTTATCACGCTCTTTCTTTTCCTTTCCTTCTTTTACTGAGATTGAATAGGCCAACTTTGCACCAACAGCTCACGTAACCTACTCCCTCAAACAAGCAGTTATGTCAAAATGAACGCCAGAAGTGGAAAGAGCACCTCAGTATTAGTAAGAGGAAGAGTTCATAATATATGATGCAGGAGAAATGGCATCAATTATATAATCGAACTAAAATCAAAATATCAAAATAGTGAAAACAAAAGGAAAGCGCGTAATAGCTGTTCTGAGGTTCGAGTTGGCATTGCAGTGCATTGTAGGACTGTTTTAGGGAGCGAAAAAGACGTCATCTTGGAAATTTCCCCAAAACTGTCCCGCAATGCACTGCAATGCCAACTCGACCCAGTCTTTTCCTCAAACTAGGAATGGCTAATAAAGCAAAAACTAGCAAGAATAAGCAATATAGAAACCAGGTTTGATGCAACATTATTTCAAGGAGTATACTATCGTTCGCAAGTGTCTCTCTTTGGTTCTTGAATGTTTCTTTGGTGGGCTTCCTGTGGTAAATGAATGTAAGGAGAGAGAAGCTTGCGGAAGAGGTAAGGTCCAACACAATCAAACTTTGGCTCTTGAATGTGTATTATAGAACTCCCCAGTTAAAGTTCGAATAAGGCTAAGCCCATAACATTAAATGTGGACCAACCAAAAATGTAGGTGTTAAAACCCAACCAATAGGTATTTACAAATGCCACGGAATGCGGCAGCTAATCACAACTAAAACTTGTTAAATTTCTCATTGTCGACATGCAGTGATCCGCGTTACAGCCAGCGTAGAAAAGAAACGGCTAAATCGAATCTATGGAACAAAGACAAGCACCATCAAGAGCCGTAAAAATAAAAATAAACGAGGAAAAACATACTCTTCTATGTTACAGAGTTTCGGAACAAACTATATTCAACTCAATTTCCGAGGGGCTCTGCTATCTGTCTTACATAAAGATGATCCCATGCACATCTCATGAGGCAGCTACAACCAACTTCTCGTCTAAAATTCTCAGTGACTCCCCTCTTGTTTTCACAAACTTTTCAATCCCATCATTTGAAATCTTGGTGCACGCTCGTAAGTCCAGGCGTTCAAGTGAGGGGCAACGATTGATGTATTTTAGGCACCCATCAGTCAGTTTACCGCAGCCCGTTAGAAGGATTTCCTTGACCGCATGGCCACACGTACTAAAGTCTGTCAGGCTTTGGATATCATTATCACTGATAGCTGGACAATAACTGAGGTCTATTTTCCGCAGTGATGGACATTGCTGCATCAATAACTGCAGGGTTTTACCGGTCACGTCATTTCCAGTTAAATACAGCGCTGAAAGACAGTGCAATCTACTTTTGCCATCTCCTGTCCCTATTCGACCATCTACTGGTGGAGGGGGGCGAATTAGGTCAAGAAGAACAGAATCCGTCACACCAGTTGACCAACTCAAGCTCAAGACACGAATCCCTGGACAGTTGACGAGCTCTAACGAACTAACAGTAGCCTCTGTTGTACCGCTCAGGTAGAGTTCTTTCAGTCGAGGGAGACGATTAAGAAGCCACTGCAGTTGTTTGCAGGTTATGTTAGTCCAGCTGAGGTTCACGGTGGTTGGTTGGCGCCGCACGATCCCTTCCAGACCAGCTTTTGTTATTTTTTTGTGCGACAAGTCAATGACTGACCAGAGATTCTGGTTCAAACACCATCGATTCCATGTGCGGCAAACTCGCATACACACGCACAGTTCCTGTTGTGATAGGTATGAGAATATTTGAAGCCAATCAGAGCTTTTTAGCACGTGTTCTCCACCATCTTCCAAGGGGAGTGCTTCGGGAGCTGCTTGCAAGGGACCTGGCCTGATTACGTATTTGGGTTTAATCTCGACCGGTGGGGGAGGGGGTAAGGCCGGTTCTGGATAAGTCTTCTTAGCTCGACTTGTAACCTTGTCAGGTTGTGATTCTACTTCAATGTTTTCACCCTCTTCGTTGCTTTCGTTTTCAGACACTTCGCTTTCTGACCCACTCTGTAAAGATAAAATCCATTGTGTCAAATGACGCGGGGTAACACTACAGATTTGGTCTGTTACCGTTTTAACTTGGGCGTAATGTTTGGCCCATTTCAGACCACGTGACATTCCCTTGATTCTTTGTTTGAGTTTTATCCATCTGTGTTTTTTACTGCGCAACCGTTAAACAAAGAAATAAAGCTCAAGGAAATGACACGTGGTCTGAAATGAGGAAACATTGCGCCCAAGGTAAAGAGGTCTATCAGTGTTTCCTAATGCCCATCAGACTAAAACGTATTTCAAGAGTAAAAAAGAATCCACTTTCGAGATTATAAGATAGAAAACAAGTGATCAAAGGACCAACTTACATCACTGCGTTTGCTTGATTTTTTAGAATAGCCGTTTCTTGCCTGAAAGAATTTAATAATATTATTTTAATCTCGATTTAGGGTTAGTTTCACCTTTCGCCGCCTCTATATCTCATCACTACTTTTTTTTTTGAACAAGAACAAGAACAAGATCTAAGCCAAGGAATGGGATGGGAGGGAGGGAAAAATGCTTTCTTTTTGCAACTTTTTCCTTTCGTTTTCTTTCCTTTCGTTCATCTCGTTTCGTTTCCTAATTCCTTTGCTTTCCTTTCCTTCCGACTCTCACAAGGAAGGAAGGCAAATACCAAGAATCCCCCACCGTCACAAGATAGTGAAATCCGATTTATGAGTTCTATATATAGAGTTGTAATATTTCTCATTTATTTTTAATCGTGGTATTTCCTTTCTAACCTAGTGATACTTCGCTCTTCCGAATTGACTGCTTATAAGCTCGTACATGGGCGGAACTTTCAGTTGAACAGCGAGGATTGCACAACATAGCTGCCCTGAACTCGGCAGAGCTTTTTGATCCCATTTTCAAATTCATCCATCATGGTCGAAACTCAGATCGATGAAAAGCACTGTAAACGTAAAATTACCTTTTTTGCAGATCCTTTAGATGTCAATGGTTGACCCTGTATAGAAAATATGAGATTAGTAACAGTGTTTATGGAGTACCGACATGATGACGTCACATAATCTTTTTTTAAGAACTTTAGGATTTTGGTGACATTATCAGAAACGGCATGTAAGAATACGATACTGTAGGGATCTTAGAGCGAAAAACAGCTGAGATTTAGTTCATTTAATACGAAAATATTCCCATACATTTTCTCTCATTTGGTGATGGATCTAATAAAACGTGACTGGATCCAGTGCAAAATAAGAGAAAACGCATAGGAATTCTTGGAGCTTAAATGCTCCATTTCTAAAGCTTGAACAACCTTAAAGTTGGCTGAAATACAGGCCATGTTGTGTTCTCTTCAAATATGTACACTTTAAAACTGAATTGCGAAATTTGGAATTTCATAACGTCGTACGTATCGCCAAAACCCTATGAAGTGTTTTGTCGCGACGGCAAATTGAACGATTCGGCGCGTGCTAATGAGAAGCACTGTGACCATGATGTACATTTATGAATATACATGCGATGAGAATGAAAGTGGGGAAAGACGGTGGTAGTAGTTGCAATAAAGTTGCTAGTTAAGGCATTGCCTTTTAAATATTCAATCCAATAACGAAAATCCTTGTTATGTAAAGACCTTTCTTTTGCGGGGTGCCAGATGACTGCGTTCTTCTTCGTTGCCCTACATAAACAGAAGTATGAAATGTAAAGTTATGATTCCTGTTAAGGAAAGAGGACGGAAAGGGAAGGGATGAAAGAAATCTTTAGCGAAAATGAAGGAGGAGGGGAGGGGAGGGGAAGGAGGGAGGGAAGAAAGAAAAAGGAAGGAAGAAAGGAAGGAAGGAAGGAAGTAAGCAGGGAATGAGTGAAGCAAGGAAGGAAGCAACGAAGCAACGAAGGAAAGAAAGAAGGAAGAAAGTAGATTCTTTTACTGAATGCATTCCAAGCAAGGTTTTACTCAGCACGTCTTACTACTCACGTTTTCACTAGATATACAGCATTTGGGACACTCCCAGCAGTTATTTATATCAGGTACAATACGGTATGAATCCTCTTCAGCATCTACACAATCTGGATGAACAATTTCAGCACACAAGCGGCACTCCATCAAAGCTTTGTCTTCCTCATTCAATCCATTACACACGAGGCAGCGAACACAAGTTGGGAGATTGGGCTGATGGAAAAAAAATGAATAAAATAAAGTCAGTAGCTAAGTTTTCACACCCATTCAAAATCCACTCTAGTTATTAAAAAAAAAAAATTCCCTGTTTTTATGAGAGTTACAATAACCAGTTGCTATTACAAACTTATGGCCTTCGTTTTATGATCGAATAGAGGTTTTGCACCATCACGTGCCCACGCCCATAATACAGCTTGGGCTGCCTGTGATTCGATGACAGAACAATAAAATCCCTTTGCTCTTGGGTTCGTAGTCTGCGAGCTAAGTCCCTCTATTTCCCTTGGTCACTGTCCGTCTGTCTGTCTGTCCGTGTCGATTGGTCGAGGAAGATTGGTTACGAGTCAAAAGTCCCTGGGGGAGGGGCTGGGGAGGGAGGGACGACAGACAGACGGGCAGTGACCAAGGGAAATAGAGGGAGTTAGCTCGCAGTCTAGCCATCACGTGATGGTGCAAACTCTCTATTGGAATGCAGTTGATTTTTGTCATCTTTAGAGACTTACCCTTGTGCACACTCTGTTCAGACAAGACTGCTTCATCCTGCCAGGACCACCGAACTTCTTCATGTCTTTACACGTTCGGCATTCACCACAGTCATCTCTCTGACAGTTGTCACACTGACCACACCTCGTTCTTCTCCTGCGCACGCCTGGTCCTACCTTGGTGCCAAATTTAGACATCACCTGGCCTGTTTTGGGACGAGGTGACTTTTGTTTCTAGACACCAGAGAAGTTTAATTGTCAGTACACGTGACTGTAATGTTTTGGATGGTATTTTTCACTACTGATGTGTGGTATGTGTAGTGCGCGCGTCTCGCAGATGTGGGTCGATTTAAATTTCTGTTGGAATCTTATTGGATTGATAGTTTTCACAGCCACCATTTTGGATGAATTTAACAAAAGATTCTGCATTAGCCTCTTTTGTTATATCATCCAACATAGCCGCCTCGTACTGAAACCTGCGTGACAAGCGAAGCATATCTCGGAAGTGGGCTATTGCTGGTTTTCAAACATTCCCAAGAGAATGAAATAACAAAAGACACGGCGGCCATGTTGGATGATATGACACAAGAGACTCATGACGAATCTTTTGTTAACTTCATCAGAACATGGCTGCTGTGTTTTGAAGTGTAAAGCAAACAGAAACGAGTTCATTTTACCTTGGGCGGAGGATCAATCTTGAAGAGATGCTGTGTACCAGATGTTGCTAAAGATTGGTCATCATCTTCGTGTAACGCCAGCAAATCCTAAATTAGAAATGTTATTTTATATCGATGATTTCATAACCATTTTCAAAGTTAGTAATGTATTAGCAAGAAGGATGAAAGGCGAGCCTCTAGCGGTGCATGCAGGAAAGTACAAATACCAAGTGGTATAACAGTTAGTAATGTATCAGCAAGAAGGATGAAAGGTGAACCTTCTTGGTCCTCTAAAGGTGTATGCAAAAAAGTCAAAATAGAAAGTGGTGTACAGCTATTTTTAAAAAGGTTGGTGAAAGTTTTGATACAGGTAGCATGCCAGGCCTACAATGCACTATGGGCGATGTGAATAGCATCAGCGAAAGGTCACAACGATGAGGAATTCTAACAGACTTCGTCTGCACGTTTTTCTGGTATATTTTCTCCTGTGCTGACATTATTTACATATGAATACGATACATTTCAAGAAAAGTAAACAACATGCAACAGCCTTCATCAAGTTTTTTCGAAATAGCTCTATCCTAGTCAGTGCGCCGGTGCAAAGATACAAAGGTACAAATACAAACAAACAAGAGCCAGATCTGCGAACGTTCAACTTTACAGACGTAACCTTTGAGCACTTCGTCAGAGTATCCTGTTCAACAGTGAATTTACACTGAATGCTGCAGAATTAAGAGACCATTTTCAAGTTCCAAGTTACCGCTGTATTCCTTGACCACAGACTCTTTTACTCAGGCTTAGCCTCGAATCAGTGTCTAAATATTCACAAATACCAACGGTAAAGTAAAGAATACACAACTCGACAACAATACAAACACTTTGAAATTCCGCGGACCTTCACTGGAGCACATGAATATTCTGCACAAAATCGAGGCTAACCCTGAATATTTAGGGATCAAGCAAGCAGCATCTTACCTCGAGTTCACTCAGAAGCTCTTCTGGATTAGTGATAGTTGGAGGTATACACTTTTGTGCGTGCGGCCAGCTTCGAAGTCTCTCTATCAGACAGTAAAGACCACTTGTCTCACATTTAGTCAAGTAGACTGGAGCCCAGGGTTTGTCTTGCGTATCCCCTGCTCCTTCGCCATCACTATGGCAACCATTTTTCTCAGGCTCTGCCTTCTTAGTTTCGGTATTTTCGTCGGCTTTTTCAAGTTTGATCTTTTTTCTGGGCTTCGGAGAGTCCTCGGAGTCTTTAGTGTATGCTTCTCTTGATATTTCAGATTTTGCGACTCTGGTGGATCTCCTCCGACCAGTTTCTTCGCCATTCGTTGTGACTGTCTTTTTCTCGGGCAAGTTGCCTTGGTCTTCTGTTACTATATTTCTGCGGGTTGCTTTATTTTTGTTCTTTTTTCCTTTGACATTCATGTCTTTCTTGGTTTCCTCTTTGTCTTTTCGTAAGAGTCGAGTGTATTTTTCCGCCACGTACCACATGATTTCTCCGTAGAATGGATATCTAAACTTTTGTGGTACCTAATAAGAAAACATATGTATTCATGAAAAGACATAAAAAGACCATTCTTATACAGCTATTTTCAATACAAAGTTGGTGAAGCTTATGTTACATGTCGCTTACAAAGCTAGCTGCGTCACATCCGGAAAATTCCGGATGTGACGCAGGCTATTACCAAGCTCGAAATGTATTATATTCATATGTAAATAATCTCAGCACACGAAAAAGATACCAGAAAAACGTGTACAGAACAATTTTGGCAAAATTCCATATTGTTTTAAATTTTTGCCGATTGGATTCACATCACCCAGAGTGCATTTCGGGCTTCTTATGGAACATGCAACAAAACCTTCACCAACTTCAGTTTTTTAAAACAGCTGTACACCAATATAATACTGAGCGAACTGCACGACACTCAGAAAATGAAAAGAGTCTCCGCTGAAAATCCAGCATGACAACTTTTTCTCGTATCAGCCCCGAGGTTGAGGAGGTCAAGTTGCCATTGCAGTGCATGGTGGGAATGCATTAGGGGAAATACTTCCAAGATGGCGTCTGTTCGTTCCCCTAAAACACTCACACGATCACTGTAAAGCCAACTCTTCCAAGAATTTTCTTCAACCTTGGAAAAACATGCTTTGTCTGTATATCAAAACATTAAGGGTGCATTAAGTAAGCCAGGGAGGTTCCAATGCTTTCTAAAAATCTTAGCGTCCCCCCTTATTCTATGGAGAAAAAAGAGAGATCAACCCATTCAACTCATGAACAATTTTCAGACCCCCCCCCCCCCCCCCCCCCCCCCCCCCCCCCCCCCCCCCCCCCTCTCCTCCCTTTGGCATACACCAAAAACCAAGATTCGTAGGTCCGGGACTTTAGTCTAGCATTGAACTCAGTACCGTTCAATATTTACCGGAAGTGAATTGATGAGAAAACAAGGGACCCGACTCTACCAGAACGGCCTTGAATTTTTGGGCGTTGACAGTGAATTTGGTTTTAAATCTGGGGACTTCTAAAAAATTCCTTTGCAATGGGGACTTGATAAAGTCGAAGAAAAGATTTTCTCCCGACCATCCTCTTTCTCGTAGATATTGAACGGTTCCTAGTCAATTTCGTTGACTAGAGTACTAGTAAATACCTTGGTAACGTCTTCAATCTGGCTGATACGTATCTGTTCCTTGATGCTGTAGCTGTGCAGGAAATTCCCTCCAAAGACAAGGGTATCGATGGGAGTATACACTGCATGGATCCAACCTGGTTACGATATACAACACAATACAATAACTTTATTGTGCCCAAAGAAAGTAAATTAAGTACAAAAAATTATCTTATTTGGTATATCAGTTGATGAGAGCGCAGACATTTAGAAATAGCTTTAGAAACTAATCGAGCTAAATGTACAACACAATGTACAATACAACACAAACATTACTCCAATCCAAAACTTTTCTACAAGTTTCTGGACGAGGGCAAAACTGTTTCATCTCACAGCAGGGGATGTGGCAAGGGGCGGTTCAGGTAGGGGCATAAACTACAGTAACTTTTCTTTCGTCTTGCATGATACAGGATTTGAACATTACTTTTATCCACACCACTCTAGGGTGTTCTTCTGTCCCTGTACAGGGTTTCGAATACTTCCACTAGGTTCAATTAAAATGTCACACTTTTTAACGAGTATTACAAACATCTACTCAGTAAAAAATTCGCCACAATTTATTTAGTTGTCTTTTTTAGTGTTTTTTTTTTTTTTTTGAATGATCATTTTATCATCCAGAGTGCCAAACAGCTTTATTTTTGCAGACCAACAAAGAAATTTTCTACAATTACTTTTTGCAAGATTTTTTTAGTTGCCATTTACAGTGCGCCTACTCAAACCAAGGCCACCCAAACAAATTTTTCGCAAAATATCAAATCTCAACAATAGAATTACGGGAAATCCACGGCAAGGTTCAGTTAATTTCACTATCAAAATACAACGTCAAAGTTTCAACAACACACCGAATTACATTATATTTATCAATTATCAATAATAAAATAAAATTTGTACAAATTCCGTTGAGATACTAGAATGTGGATGGATAATTTGTGAAACATTTTGGCTTTGGTTCGAGCAGACGCACTGTAAAAATGGGTTTTAAATCCCAGGGAAAAGTAATTTTAGGTTACATTCTTTAGAGCCATCACTAAGTTTGTCATCCCTAAGTTTGTCATCCCTAGGAGCTCAAGGAGTATTTTCAGTTTTGATTCTATAGGGTGGCTCAGTGACTGTAAAACTGCAAACTTTAGTTGCATTTTTTCATTCCTTTTTCTTTTGATCTTTTAACTGCTGCTATCAGTTAAAATAAATAGAGGATATTACATGGGCGCGCGGAGATACGAAATTTATTTTCGAGTGTTGAAAAGAACTCTCACGAGAGAGCGCAGTGAACGAGCGAGAGATTTTCAACACGAGAAGATCAATTTCGTATCTCCAAGCGCCCATGTAATATTCTGTTTATTACATAATTATCCATAAAATCA